TGCCAGCCTCATCCTCTTATCTCTTCCTCGCCCCTCAGGAGATGAAAGAGCATGTTTCCCTTCCTGAGTTCGGCCTTCATAATTCCATTCCATCACAACTATGCAGTCATTCTTGCTCAGCACCAGCTTCTTTGGAAGACTCAGACTGTATGGGAACATGTTGTCTGTCTCTGCCTCCCATCCTACAGAATTTTAGGCTCACATGCATACCTATGTAAACGTTTGAATAAAGCTAGCAGTGTGCTTCATCTTAGTGAACAAAGAGATAAACTATTGTGTGACTCTCTCATGCTTTCTTTAGCATAGCTTTGGAGTTTATTTTTTTTCTTTTTAAGATAAAAAATTAAGTATCTCTGAGAACTCTCAAGTCTTCACAAATCCCTTCCCCACTAGAAAGGCTCCATATTACAGTGAAAAAAATGTACAAATTGATTGATTGTGTGTGATCAAGTTGGTGTCAACTCTTAGCGACCACATACAGTAGATAGATTTTCTCTATGACAATCTATCCCTAACATGTCTTTCAGGTCTTCCAACAGTGCATCGATCACCACTGAGTCCATCCACCTTGCTGCTGGTCATCCTCTTCTCTTTCCTTCCACCTTTCCCACCATTACAGCCTTCTCTAGAAAGCTAGGTCTTCGCAAAATGTATCCAAGTAGAATAATTTGAGCCTGGACATTTACGCCTGGAGTGAGAACTCTGGACTGATTTATTTGATGATCCATTGGTTTGTTTTCTTGACTGTCTATGGTATTCTCAGGAGTCTGCTCCAACATCAAAGTTCAAAAACATCAATACTCTTCCTATCTGGCTTCAAAGTCCAATTTTCACTTCCACAGATTGTCATAGGGAATAGCATGGCTTGCACTATTCTGATCTTTGTAGGTATAGACACATCACGGCATCTAAATATCTTTTCCAAGACCTTCATGGCTGCTCTACCAAGTGCTACTCTATGGCATATTTCTTGACTGCTTGTTCCTTTACTGTTGATGGTCGATCCTAAAAGGCATAAACTATCAGCCACTTCAATTAATTCAATTCTAAAGATGTACAAATACAGTTGGGTTTATGCAGTTATCCTTAGTCATAACAACCTTGGCTCAGTGTGCTACGCAGACCAAACCACAGCTTTTTGATTAGTGTGTTTTTATGACTTAGAACCTGTGAATAGAATTGTGGTTTATTCAATAATAATAATGATTAAACTTGATCATAATATTTTAAGCCTATGTATAGCTAAAGGGTTTTTGAAGTTCATGAGAAATAGAAGAAATGGATGACAAGGTTCCAGGTTTAATTTTATTTCAAGTAATTAATTATTACTTTTCTTAACCCATTAGAAAACTTACAGCCAACTTAGAAAAATGAAGCTTGAAAGGGTAACTTACATAACTAAAATATTTGTTAATAGTTTCCAGAGGGATAGCTGTTTAAAGTGGGTTGTAGCAGAGACAAGAGTCTTCTGGCATACTGAAGGCTCATAAGATTATAAACCTGGTTTTATTCAACAGACTTCACTTTAGAAGTGAAAGAATTAAAACCTACAGAATCTGAGTCAAGGGAGGATCAGGCTGTGATAGACTGGCATAAATATCCATGGACTAGAATATACTTCATCAGATTTGGGAAGCAATATCCTCACACATATACACACGCCCATTTCTATGAACAAACAAGCATGCAGTGGAGAGAGGGAGAAATGGTAAACAGCGAGGTCAGAGGGAAATGTAATGCAATCCCCCCCCCCACAAAAAATAAAAACATTGAGACAATTAAATTAAGGCATGAACTTTTCACAACAGCAATACCAATGACAGCAGTTTAACAGGACTTAGTTAAAAAATGGTATTCGATAGTCACTTTAGATACTATACCAGCAGTCAAGATAATAGACATGTAGCTGTTTTAGAGAATTAGATATTCTGCCAATCACTGTTTATACTGGACAGAAAAACATTATTATGGTATTGAGGGAATAAAATAGCTAATATGATCATTGCTTTGCAAAGTGGGCTCAACACATAGAGCCCTAGCTGTTGGATCAGAGGAGAAATCAGTTGTTCCACTTCCAGCTCTGAATATGGGCTTCTCTCTCTCTCTCTCTCTCTCTCTCTCTCTCTCTCTCTTTTCTACAGACAGGTTTGAAGAGTATGTCACTGATACAACTTCACTATAATCATGAAGATGATGTTGGTGATCATTATGATGATAAAGGTTCTCCACAATGCACAATTTGATTTATTTGTACTGCAGGAGCAATGGTCAGGTTGAAAGAGTTGAGGCAAAGTGATACAACAGAAGAGTATGCAATAGTGATGTTACAGCTTCAAGTTGGAGGTTCAAATTATACACTTAGGGAGATCAATTTTCAGGTCAAAGTTGTGTGGTGGAAAAGCAATATTAGAGTCTAGGGAATAAACCAAAGAATAGGTAATGAGCTCTGAGGCAAAACTCAATTCAAGGACAGTGAAAAAATAGATAATGATGAAGACTGACTTCACATATCACACTAAGCCATCATATGATTTGTTATATGGGCTTATTGTATTGCATGAACTCAGCCAACTATGATTTGTTAATCTAACCATGGTTAAAAAATCATGGCTTAGTGCAAAGTACAAATTAAACATTGTAAATGCAAGAGTCTTGGATGTGACCTAGAAATAAGGAGGGTTTCAATCAGATTATCCTTGAATAACATACTGGTCTCTGATAGATTGATAGATAGATAGATAGATAGATAGATAGATAGATAGATAGATAGATAGATAGATAGATAGATAGATAGATAGATAGATGGCTACTGCATAAATTTCTCTGGATAAAAAGAAAAAAGTTCATTCCCTGCTAGACTGAGAATAATATTATATAACAAGAGTTGCTGTCCAGAAGCAATGAGCATTTTCCCTACAGGCATTCCAGAAACAAACAAATTTACAATAAACAGAATTGATGGGAAAAATTCCCTTTCCCCCTGCTTTTGCCTATATATGGGTGTGGACTTGCATGTTTGAGCTGAAGGATTGTTCCAGCATTCAGTAAATTTACTAACAATCCTTTGATTTACACCCTCAACCTGATGTTTCCTGGCTGGGTTAAACTACAGCTCAATACCACACCCAATCTTTTCTAGAGGTAGGACAAATGTAATAGATCTCTCTCTCCCCCTTAGTGTTCAATTTTCAGATCAGTAAATTTACAATCATTCTACAAATATATGATGTTCATACAAATAGAATGATGCGCTACTTGATGCCAGATCAGAAAGATCTAGAAACAAAATTTATTTGAATGAAAATTATTGTCTCTCTCTCACACACACACTACGTACCTACTAACCGAAGCAGGAGATACAGACAATAATACTGAAATATTTATACTGAAGCTGGTTAGCTGATTTAAGGCTCCTGCAGAAGAATATGTTGATAGTTTATTTGTGTATGTTTTCCCAAGGACAGCATAATTATCCTGTCGATTTAAATACCTTTAATATTCATTCAGTCTCCCCTGAAAATTAAGAAAGCTGCAATTCTTTGAGGATGACTGTGGATTTCTAAACAGATAATCCTCAGTAGGCATAACAATCTACAAGTCCCCAGATACTGCAGAAGAAACACGATCACAGTTGAAGTGGGAGAGAGAGGATTACAGGTAGTCCTCGCTTAACGACCACAATAGGGACCAGAAAATTTGTTAAGTGGGGCAGTTGTTAAGCGAGTCACCACGTGACCAGACCTGATTTTATGACCATTTTTACAACAGTCTTTAAGCAAATCACATAGTCATTCAGTGAATCATGTGGTCATTAAGCAAATCCAGCTTCATCAATTGACTTTTTTTGGCCAGAATTCACTTAATGACATGATTCACTTAATGACCATGACGATTCACTTAACAACCTTCATTAAAGAAGTTGCAAATCACAATTACATGACTGTAGGGGAGTGGTGTGATGATTTGCAATGGTTGTAAGTGTGAGTACAGGTTATAAAACACTTTTCCCAAGGCCATCGTAACTTTGAACCATCGTTAAACAAATATACATGGACTACCTGTATATTATTGTTATCATTACTTGCTTGTACATGTCTGAACTTATGCTCCACAGGCAAGATCCATCA